AATGTTTTCACTATTTAACCCTAGAGGAACCTTAAAATAATATACAGGTTGCAAGGAATCTCTATAAAAATTGCAAAAAAAGCTAAATCTTTATAATACAATTCATCTTTAACCTACACAACTTTAAATATTAGCACTGTACACTATGAAAATTAAGAAATGAAGTTTGATATTTTTCAGTCACAATCTCTTGTGGAAACTCCTAGCAATCTCTCAAGGAACCTTAAGGTAATGCAGGACCCCAGTTGAGAAAAGCTGGCTCAATTATAAAATTCTACTTCATTTTTTTTAACTTTTTAGTAGCAACAAAAATGTATGCATTAATTGTACTTCAAAGCAATGCTGCTGGTGTTTCATAAATGGGAAAGTAAAGGATCTAGCTAGAAGGAAGCAGAACATGCACTTCTCCAGTATTTTTTATCCAGCAAATGTGACCATGAATCAGTTCAATTTACTAACCTTCCCCCAATCTGGTTGTGCACTATTTAATGGACAACATCACCTGTCCATGTTGACTTGACATAATGAAAGCTTCCCTGTAGTAGAGCCAGAAAATGCTATTTTGGGAAGTCTGTATGGCTAGGCAAACTTGGTAAGACTAGGAGGCATTGGACTATGAGATACCTCAGGTGGTAATGGAAGGGGCACTTAATTTAGAGTTTATTTTTTATTGAGTGATCCAGTAATATTAAAATAATCTAAGTATTCCACTAAAAATGGCACTTATACAGTGTGTTTAATTTCTAAATGGAAATTGCTTTGTGGAAGTCTCAGTCGTCAGGGTTCTTTTTACCATAGTGCACTGTTGATCAAGTACCAACAATGAAGTGTTGAAATCCAGCATTAGAATAGAATAGAATTCTTTATTGGCTAAGTATGATTGGACACACAAGGAATATCACAGCAAATGTGCATTCAGCCTAGTATGTACTTCCTCATCCTGGCCCATAATTATCTATTGTTTAAGGATATTTAAAGAATGAAATTACAGTACGAATTTTAAATCTGTTCATATCAGTGGTAACACAATTATTCTTTCCATCATTGTTATTAGAATTATTTTAATATATAACCAGAAATGAAAGTGAATAGCAGATGATATTAACATATAGGTTCCATAGGCTGCTGGAAAGTTAAACTCATTGCGTTCAGAAATTATGTTGCTAAAATATTGGAATAGTTTAACAAATCTATTTGTTAAAGATATTTGTTAATTCTGAAATAAATTGTATATTAGCAAACTTCCAATGTAAATCCAATTATCTCGGTGAAGGTCTGGCCTACACTTTACCTCAGATTTATGCAAAATTGAAGATTAGTAATCCACTAGAAGCATTGGTGTAAGTTCAATTCATGTTTAATGTATTAATTGAAAATAGACTGATAAAAATGGCAGACTTTACTTATTTATATACATGTGTTAGATTGATTCAGTTAAATTTTACCTTGGTTTGCAAACTTCCTATTCTTCCCAAATATCTAAACTACTAATATTGAACTATTCATATTTTTATAAAGATTAGAAACATTTTAAACATTAGTATGTTATATGTACAAGTATATTTACAATTATATATGTACGATATGTACAATTAAATAAAGAGAAAAAGATGAAGAATTTCTGAAAGCTAAAGAGATAAATAGACCTTTATTTTTTATTTTTAAAAACAGTAATTTGTTTCCATTAAACTATATAAAAAACTATTTGCTTGAAAACTCTATAACGGAGATTTGATTTCACTCTATCAGTCCAAACCATTCTACATTTCTAACTTTAGCTTCAGCCCTGGTGCTGCTGTATAGTGGAAGGTGCCATCCCATTCCAGCCCTTGTGTGTCTGTAAATTCTCCTTTCCCTTCCAGCCTGAGATAAAAACAAAAATAGCACGTTAAACAGAAGCAATAAACTACCCATAATCAAGTACAATCTAAAGGTGTTTTGAGACACAATTTGCTAAAATAGTAATATTGACTTATTTTAGTTAGTTTCTTTATACTGTCTTTTTGTATAAAACAGTAAGATGGGGTGCAACAAATTAAGAAAGATAATACCACCACTACAATAAAATTATCCAAACAATGATAGAAGAAATATAGTAATAAAACATTGTAAGGAGTTTCAACAGCAAATTTACTAACTCTAGAAATATTAACTGAAGAGATCATACTCACCTACAAAGATCGGTTAACACAGAATGCTAGGCCATGGCCTGTAAATTAAGCCAGACTTTTCGAGGTTGACACAACACAGTAAGCCAGAAACAAATTAACTATATTTTGGATTACATACAGAAACCAAGTTACATAAACCAAGACTAAATTTCTAATACAAACTAGGCATATTACTGTAGTAAAGATACTAAGATGTTTTGCAGTAATTTTTTTCAGCTTACTTGTTTTCATTGAATTGTCCAGTATACTTGGATCCATTAGAAAATACATAAGTTCCTGTTCCATGTAACATGTTGTTCTTGAATTCACCTTCATAAACTGCACCTGAAGGATGTTCTAGCCTTCCTAAACCATTCATCTAATTTAACAAAAAGTGGTATTAGCAAATGTATTAATAAAATTACTCCATTATTATTTTCCTAATTTTAGTAAATTTAAAAGAGCCATCCTACGCATAATTAACTCAGGACAAGTTTAGCTGAATAAAGTTCAGCTTATAGTTTACTTTATAGCAAGGGAGTATATTTGTGTATATACACATTTTCATAAATGTGGAGATCTGTTTTTTTAGATTCTCCATTCCTACTTACTTAAATCCCCATATGAAATTGCAATGGAAGGCTGAGAGGAAATAAGTGAGATCAAATAAGATACAGCATGGAGGGTTCCAAGATGTTCAAGTGGAGGTACTTTCAGTAAAATGAAACTATCATTGGCTGTAGTTCCAAGTTTTATTTATTCACTGAGGTTTCTTAAGGCAATTATTTGCCATCAACTCCAAATTCTGTTCACTGAATGTTTTGTTATCTATATTTTTCTTCAGTACCACACTTCCAGGTAATCCCAATTATATTTCTGATCTTTTCCTTCTACTTCTTTCAACCCTGATATACACAATCATTTCCCCCAATTGATTATTTATTTGTATCACTCAAAGTATGTGAGTTTCTGCTCACTAATTATGGCTTCATTGGAACAGTCAGATTTTTTTTCAGAACTGACTTAATATTACTGTAACAGAAGATCTTTAATTATTTGCATGTTTTAGATATTTTTTAAAAACAAATATACCTTATCATTCTTCCATGTTCCACGATAAATAATTCCACCTGCGGTTATATGAACTCCATATCCATTTCTCTCAAGAATTCCATCAGGTGTTCTTGTACAGTCACCATCTAATGAATCAAAAGGCAATGCAGGAGGGAAAAACTCAGTAACAAGTCACTCAGTAGTATTAATGGTGTGTTTTTACTATGCTATAATTTTTTTTAAATCGGGCCACATGGTATCATGTGTCTTGAGAGTCTTGAGCTAAATTTGAACTGACAACCTAAAGAATACATGCTGAACTAAGTCTCTGGGAAACTCTTGACAGAAAGTTTTAGTTTGATTGCCCTCTCCATAATTCCTCCACTACACAAAAGGAGAACCATAACACGGGATCAGAACAATGGTCATTGAATCCTTTTAGAACTGAGTGATTATAAATAGTTCGTCCTTGGTTATAATATCAGAATTAGGTGGTTATCCAGATGAATCAGCTAGCTCAGGTTATGAACCAATTAGCCCTGCAGATGGTACAAACTTAAGTTTTAGGGAACCCTTGACAAAATTTTACCGCTGAACCTGACATTAATCATACTGCTAAGTTAAATTCAGCACGTCATGTAGACATGGCTTCTGATAATGCTATATTTTATTTTCAGTACTGCTTTCAACAATTGTAGTATTCACAGTGCAACATGATTTGATAATATCAGTCAAGAAATGTCATACTTTAGGATATACAATTAAATGCAGCTAAATGTTCACTAGCTGGAAATTTCTTCTTCAACTTTCCTATCTTCCTCAAACAGAATGAGATTATAATTGAGAGAAAATTGAGGAAATCCAACTCTAAACATTCCTGATATTTAAAAACAAACTCATCTCAGGTTATCTTACTAGCATAGGCAGGCATAGATTATATTCTAAACTAAATTATTTGCATGGTAATGCCCAGACTATTATGTCATTTACAGCATAAACCTTTTTTTCAAAAATAAGAACTGTTGAATTTATGTTATTGCAAATAAGTGCAATACAACCTGAATTGGAAATAATTTGTATACATTTTAATAATCTTTCACCAACACATTATAATATAGTATCTGTAAATATTTACCATACTTATCTTGATTTGGAAATGTAAATGATATTTTATAAACTTCAGACCCTGTTGAGAAAAGAACATATACTTTTACCAATCTTTAAAAGTATCCTCCAGTCTAAATATAAAATATAGATAGAGTGAGTTTAATGTAGTGGTTAAGGTACTGGCATAGAAACGAGGAAATTCTTGAGTTCTAGGCTTTTCCTTAAGCATGAAAACCGGCTAGACTGAACTTTGGGCTTTTGTTGCTTTCATTCTTAGTTGCTTCTTATCAGTCCAGTCTCACAGGGTTGTTGTTATACACACACACATACACACACACACACACACACATACACATAGGGAGAGAGAGAGAGAGAATAATCATCATCATCTGCTCAAGCTTAGTTCATCCTTCCATCTGTCACCCATAAAGTATTCTACACTTAACTGATCTTTTGAGTGCAAAACCATTTTATACGTTAACAGACACATCAACATTTCACTGGAGAGGTGCAAATTCTTCGTGTACTGAAACATCACTTTTCGATCAAGAAATACCTTCCCGTTTTTGTTTTTAAACAATCATTGCACTGGAATCACTACTCACCGGACATAACTCGGAAGGTGCATACGCGGTTGCTATGGCGACAAGATTTACAGGAAGCGAAAGCTTTTTTACTTCCAGGGGATCGTCGAGCTTTGGTTTCGACTGAGATTCCGGGCGGGAGCGGATGTATGTGCTGAGGATAATTAACAGGAAAGACAGAGGTTTGTTATTATGGGGAGGCAGGGGTAATATTTACAGTGCCTTTCGGGCGATCTTTTCTAAGGCGGCAACCTTCCGTTGACTTACTAGTTCCTTAACAAGAAGGCAAATGTACGAAGAGTTTAGGGACGGAGAAGGGTGTTTTATAATACATATGCAGGGAGGCTGTGAGTTTTCTAAAAATGTCTTTGGAAACGCTGAAAATGAGATGCCTGCAAGTATTGAGGGAGACGAGGAATTTCAGTCCAGCATATATTGTTTAAGTGATGTAATGTGGCTTTTTATAATAATTGCAGTGGAGTGTTCTTTGCAGAAGGATATCTCAGGCTTGGCCCCTTAAATTAGTGGCACTTAATTGTAGATCTGACTTAAATTAACAAGCTTATGCTACATTAGTTGAATAAACTGTGTGCTGGTCACCAACTATAATTCTCTATATGGTTTTTCATAATTTCTCTGTGAATACTGAGGTTCTCCCCATCCCACCCCCAATAGTGAGCATTGATATGTTCAGTTAGGGAAAACATAATTTATTGTGATTTATTATAACTTATACTAGGGTGATGTATTTAATATAGTATATAATGTACATTATAATTTATAATACACTTGTACAAAATGTATCGTTTTTAAAAAAACTCTTTTTTACCTTGCGTTTTGCCCCACCAATCCCAGAGTTCCTTGCAATTTGAATAAGAAAACAACCATATTTGCAAGGCTTTCCATAACAGGAAAAGAGATAGAAAAGGAGAAACAGACAGATATAAAAATCTCCAAAAGTTTAGTTACCAAATTCAGCAAAGTATAATTCACCCAAACAATTGTTGCTGCTCTTATGGTGACATTGAATGTAACGCATTGCATGCAGTGCAATTATATTGTATATATACCTCTACAGATATAATTTAATTAATTTTATTGATTTAAACTTGATCCAATGGAGTATGATATACTGTTGCCCATGTCATAAGTGGATCCTTATTGATAACTATACTCTTAGAGATAACATACAAATACTGTGACCAAAGCAAATTTACTAGAAAATAAATTCCACTGTATTTGTTATTGGTTGTAGGTGAGAGCTGATCAATGAATGATGTCAACGGATACCTTTACTGTGTGTTTACATAATAAACCTAGTGCTATACTTCACTCTTGAGCATTTTGTTTCATGTTTTTTCCCCTTTAGCTAAAAAATGAGTTCAGCAAAGAGAAGAGGAAGACCCAAAAGTAGAGGAAAAGGAGGAGGTAGTGGAAGCAAACATCAAGGCAGTGGCAGCAAACATCAAAGCAGTGGCAGCAAAAAAGGATTGGACGAAATGTGGGATGATGATTTCTGCGTTTTTGATGAAACAGAAGATGCATACAGGTTAGCAAAATGAATTATTCTTTAGAATATGAACTGAATGTAGCATCATAGAGTTAGGAATGAGTATTTAGCTGGAGACCAAATAAATTAAGGAGATTCGAGTTTCATTTTGAGTTTATGAGATAATGGGATCTAAACTTTATTTTTTGGGTCCAGCACATATATTTTTTTCTGTGCAGGGAGAAGAGGTGCTTGCCTTCAACAGGCAACTCTTTTGCTCTGTCTGCTTAATGACCAACTCAGTCTCTTGGCGACCGTATCTAGGAGGGTGGTAAAACGGTGTTGCGGTTATTACATGTGGGTACTTTGCTTAACCTTAACAATTTATAACCAAAAATTGAGAGCTTGTAGGTCAAGGACTACTTGCATATGCTTTTCTCTTTGTTGCTTTGGCAAGAGATCTCCATATTCTTCCTTACTTTCTCCACTCTGTCTGAACATTTGCTAACAACAGAAGATGGATCCTGTACAATTGTCATTTTAATCATAATTTTAACTAATGAATTTTTATGTATTTGAATATGCATTTTACACTACTTGACTGTATTTGTAAATAATATACTTCTTTCTTTTTAGTACATCAAGTTCTGTTAATAGAGGAAATGGACAGACCAAACATGCATCCAAGATCAAAACACCTCTGCATACTCTTCATATGACTTCAGAAAATCAGAAGAGAGTAAAAGAACTTCTTTGTGAGCTCCAGGGGCAGGAATTGGTTTCTGGTTCGAAGTGAGTTTTTAAAAAAACACAATGTACTTATTCTTTAAATATGACATGCCACAAAATTGTATATGAACCCCTTTTATTTTTATAACTGAATAGGCTTTTCACAGTATGTAATTATGGAATAAAATTTAGCATATCTAGACTGATTGATTTGGCAAACAAGATTTTGTACCCATTCTAGAAGAAGAAGCAAAGTGTTTGTTTAACTCAAAGTGTTTGCATGTTTTGCATAACAAAGACAGTTAATTTCTACCTTTGAACAATTAAATAAAACTACTTCTGGACTGAGAGAGAAAAGTATAAAATAACTTTGTATAATCCTAATCCTCCAAATTAATTTATTGGTTGTAGTCCTAGAAATATCTTATGCTTTCAGGACAGTAATGTCAGGCATAGCTGATTGCAGTGAGTCAGATGATGAGCAGTCCTGGTCAGATGACAATGCATTCACTAAAACCAATTCAAGAGCTGCTTCTCAAGCAACAGTGAACCATGTGCTAGAAACGGAAGTATCATCTTTTGCTGTGCATAAGCTTTCCAGGTAATTATTTTTGCATCTATTCTAAACTGCATAATTTAGAAATTGTGATTGGAATGGATAGTTGCAATTACTTGAAGGAGTAACACACTGACCTCAGAATCTAGCAACTCAATAGTAAGACAATTTTTGCTTTGATTTAAAAAAACACATTTCAGGTTGTTTAATTATCAAATTATTGTCAATGGGTGGCTTTTTTCTAGAAATTCCAATTCTTTATGTTATTATTAAGTGAGGGCAGGGGAAAAGAAACAAGTTCTTCATTCAAGTCAATTTCCTATCAACCCAAATCCCTTCCTGGCTCTTTTATTCTGCCGTGGAGATTTTTAGGAATTCAACTTTGCTTCATCAAACATTCAAGCCATTGGTGTATCTTCATAGAATGCAAAATTTCATATTCTAAAAACAACTGCTGACTCAGATAACAATGTACATTCTAGTTGTAGAATTAAAGTGTATTATGCAATCCAGAGTAGCTTCTTCTCATATGATAAAATAGGCTAAAATATTCATTTTAGAAGTAGTAGAACTACTTGCTCTTGCCTAGATGGCACTTGTATACACTGTTTTTCTTCCTCCTAGGTATGGCTTTGATTCTGAGCATTGCCAAGCAGTACTGAAATCTTACAATGGTAACATTGGAGCATCTTTGGAACATTTACTTTTGCAGTGCTTCACAGAAAAGTTTGGAAAGAGAATGCAGCTCACAGAAGCTTCTGTTCAAGCAAATATTAAAGATTGTTTTGAACAAAGGCAAGAAGAAGCTTTAGCCCTCCATTCAATTTGTGGAGATAAATTTGTTGAACGAATTCAAAATCGAGTTTGGACTATTACATTAGAATTGACCTATCTAACAAATATTCTCAGCAAAACAAAACAAGGAAATAGTATCACCAGTAACATAGTTAATACGAATTCCCAGGGTATCTGTAAATATTACCTTCGCGGAGATTGCAAATTTGGATCAAGATGCAGATTCAAGCATGAAACTTCACACAATGAGAAATCACTTCCCCCCATTCGAGATGATGCTCATCTTAAACTTAATGCTCCTGTGTATGAACTTGAAGTAAGATTTCCAGAAGATAATAAATACCCATATCAACCACCTCTTGTGGCCTTCTATTCTACTAACGAGAACCTGCCCTTATCTTGTCGATTGCACTTAGCAGAATTCCTTTATGAAAAGGCCTTAATTTCAGCTGAGTCTAATAAACCTGTAGTATATGATTTTGTAACATGCTTAAGGGATGAAGCTCAGGTCCTGAAATTGCTTAATAAGACATTCCACAAATACAGTGTTCCTCCACTGCCTCCAAAACAAAAGTTTCCAAGTAGCTGTAATAATCCATATCAGACTTCTGTAGGTATGTTCATTTTTATAACTCTTTATTGGGATCTTGAAAATGTTGAATGCCTCCATTTTGCTTCCAGAATTATTTTATATATTACATTATTTAGGTGTTATTCCTACTCTGTGGGCTTGAAGAATATTATGAATAAGTTTCAATAAGAAACCAGGGGTGGGATCCTACTGGCATAACAACCAGTTTGGAGAGTATCTGCATGTGCGCTAAATGCACACTGCATGTGCATGCATGCTACCGGCTCCGGCGAGCATTTCTCCAGCTGGCGAGCGGCACTCAACTGTGTTGCACAAAGCAGTTGAGGTAAAAGCATAGGCTAAAGAACAGCCTAGAGCACGGGCAGGCGGGTGGGCCAAACAGACAACCAGACGGTTGTTGCAGCGAATCAGTTCGGTGTCAGCTGCTCTTCGGAGCTACTGGTTCTATAGAACTGGGCTGAACCGGTAGAATCCCACCCTGGAAGAAACTTTGTAACTGATTGGATCTTTGTTTTTGTTTTTTTAGTAATTTGCTAACATGGATAGAACTAGGCAATTTTCAGTTAGAGAGAATTGTGCTTCAAGGAATGAATTGTGTGTAAGTACAGAAATGTCAGATAACACCAAATAACATCAAATAACACCAAATGTCAAAAAGATATAACTATTCTTAATGTCATATTATATAACCTGGAGTCTTTCTAATGTATTGAGTTCCCAGTTTGGAACTGTAGAATTGAAAGACACCAACCTAAGAGGACATATTTTCCCATTAAAACTTGCATTGGACCTAATCCTTCAATTATCATTTTATTTTGGATTAGCACTTTAGCCTTTGTTGCTCATTAATCCAAATCTCATTTACAGTACTTATGGAAAGTGTACTATACTCTTTAATTGATGCCTTCAAATACCCTACAACATTGGTCCCTGATCTTTCCAGCTCTGAGAACCGGGGGGGGGGGGGGGGGATGGTTTCATGCATGTGTGTGTACTGCTTGCACAAGTTCAGCTTTGTGCGCTCACATGCTTGCGACCACCTGTGCGTGCTGGGTGGGCAGGGGCATGAATGTGTATCTTCAACAAAACATAAGAAAAGTGTATCTAATAAAATCACCATTATAAACCTGAAAAGGCATAACTTAAGAAAATTGGTAAAAACTTTGTTTTCATCACAAAGAGCATTGGAATACAATAGATGTTAGAATGACAATATCTACTCAATAACAATAACTTTTGCCTGACTTTATTTGAGAAAAGCATGATACATCTAATTACAGAAGTAAATACAGCGTGATATTCTTCTAATGAATAGAACTTCAAGTTCCATTATCGTTACCCAGCACCTGACAGGAAAATCCATATTATAATAGTGTTGTTTTAACCTGTATAAGCCTCTTTTAAGAGAGAAATCAATACTAGGATGTTTAAAACGCTAAAATGGGCAAACATAATTCTGATCATGAGGAAATTAAAAAGGTATTTGGTAGGGAAAATCTGCTAAAACACGATGGAATCCATAATTTAATAGAATTCTTAACCTGAATTTATTTAATGTATGATGTATTTCTCCCATGTATATCAGTATGAATTCAAGGAACGGTGGGCAGGATTCCTGAAAAGAAATTTGTCAAATAAATAAACTAGCCATTGGTATGGTGATCCCTGTATCAACAGTATTCATGCCTTCCCCTTTCACCCCAAGTTAAATCAGTGTTGTAGAACAGAAGTGTCAAACTCCCAGCCCGGTGCCGAATGCATCATGTTCTGGCCACGCCCCTCCCAGTTTAGGGAAGGGGGGGAAAGTTGTGATATGTCACGTGATGACACGTGAGTTTGACACCCCTGCTGTAGAAGGATCATACTAATTGTTAAGATTTTTTTTAAAGCATCAACAGAAGTAGAAGCTGAGGAGGATGAGAATGACCAAAGAGGCCTACAAACAGTTAATATAGAGAAAGAAAGCTATGTGAATCTCAAAAAGAAACTTTTATTGAAAAGCAGCACTCCATCAGAGCCCATTACCAAAGAAAATCTTAAAATTTGCAAACAATTCAGCATAAAAAAGGTATGGTTAGCTTTTAAATTATTTTAACTGTGAATATGTGTGGGAATGTAGACTGGTATATTGTAACTTTCTATTAAAAAAAATCAGGCATATTTATATTCATGTAATGATCCTGGGTTGTGATTTTAAAAATCAGCCATTAGTCAAAATTACTTTAATTACTAATTAAATGTTGCAACCCAAACTTGTGATAATTAGCAGTTGGATCCTAATTGGAATTTGTTCTACTTTTGTGAGTTCCTTAAAAAGCATGATTTTGTGTTTAAAATGCTTCACGTACTTTTATTCATGTTCATTGCCTACTTTAGTGAACAGTAAATATATTGTTAAATCATTATTATTCACATATTTGAGGCTAATCATGGTTGCTGGTAACTTTATGTATGTTTTTGTCAGTCTTCTAGGCGTTACCAGACCATGTTACAAGAACGACAAAAACTTCCAGCATGGGAAGAGAAAAACAACATTCTCAGCTTGCTGAGCAAGTATCAAGTCCTAGTTATAAGTGGTATGACTGGGTAAGTGTACAATCTATACACAAACTTGAATAGAGGCTGCATTCCACATCATGCATGATGTATCAGTAGGCCAGTATTGCTTTTCATAATTAATTATAAACAAAAAGGAGAGAAGCCCAAAATCATATTCACAACAAAGGAGGGATACTTTTACCATTTTTCTTAGATTAAGATTCTCATTTAGACTGATCAGTTTTCTTCTTGGTTTAGCTTAGTTGAAAAACAAATGGGAAGAAAGAAAAAAGCCAGACCAGTGTCTCTTTCTCTGTGTTTATGATTTATCAAGCCTCCCATTTCTAGTTAAGTCTAGACAGACCAAGAGATCAAGCTAAAAAATAAAAATAAGAATATGAGATTTATTTAGTTGTTAGGTTGTAACCTGCCAGCAATGCAACTACTGTAGGATCAAATGAAAGATTAATCATACAATCTTTACATATTTCTGTTAATTCAAATTATAATATAACTTTAGTAGTAATTACAGTTTAAAACTTCAAGTACAAACACAAGTATAATATTCTAACATTTTTTAGAACATTTTAAAATTAAAAAGTTGGATTCAGTTTTGTATAGCCTCTATGTTGGAATTGTGTAAAGCAGAGTTTCCCAACTTTTCTGCCTTTGCAGATTGGCAGGGAGAAATGGTTCCATGCAAGCAGCCAGCAAGCGTGCACGTGCAGCTTCATTTGCATGAGTAATGGGTGTGCACATCTGCCGTTGCTCATGCAAGTGGGGATGTGTGCGTGCTCGCCTGCCACTTCTGTGGCCGGGTTCCAGACAGCTCATGGCCTAGTAGTGGTCTGTGTTGGGGACCACTGGTGTAAAGGAACCTCATACTTTCCCAATGGGAAGGCCCTTGTTTGTTTGTCTGCTTTGTAGAAGCCTGACAAAATCTGATCCTCAAAAAGAAGGCTCCATTTTGGCAATGCAAGAGAAATTTCTGCATATATTTTTTGGCCTCAAATTGTATTGGAATTTGTAATCGTCCCATCTGTTTTGTACAGTTCAAGTTGTAGTCCTCAACAGAAAATCTTTCATGAGGCTTAGATTCAGTCTTCTTTTTTCTAACTTCTGAATCAATATTAGCAAATAGGAAAATGTGTTTTTATTTCAGTGAATATGTATAACTATAAAGGAGAGGTTTGAGGCCAAAAAAACCTTTATTTTAACTTAGATTTTGATACTTTTATATTTCATTGATTTGTGCTCAGTCTTGAGACATACACAATTCTTTAAAAGAAAAGATATTATCCATAAAGTGCAGCTTAGAATGCAATGATTGATTATGTGCTATTTAAGGGATGGGGTGATTTTCCCACACACATTTTTTTCCTTGCAGATGTGGAAAGACCACTCAGGTACCTCAGTTTATCTTGGATTCCTCTCTGGAAGGCCCTTCTAATAAAGTAGCCAACATCATTTGTACCCAGCCTCGTAGGATTGCTGCCATTTCCGTTGCTGAACGTGTGGCCAAGGAACGAACAGAAAGAGTTGGAATTACTGTTGGATACCAAATCCGGCTAGAAAGTGTCATGGTTTGTTTTTTTCATTTTACATTTGTTGAAGTGGTAACAGTGATAATGTGTTTCAATATAACTCTTTTTAGTAAAGATTTACTATTTTAATTTCCCCTACATATTCCTTATTAGATCTAAGGATGTTACCAATCATTAGAACACATTTTGGCCAATATGTAATATATAATGCTATAATATATTTTGTTGTGCAACTCCTAGAATTATAGGCAACAAATTAAAACAAATTAAATAATTAAATAAAATTAAACTCCATTGGGTTTTTTTGCCCAAGTACAGACATTCTTTTTTCCTCTGTTTAAGGAAATACTTCTGAAACAATACTAATAGGTCCCAGGTTGCTTAGTTATAATTATATTAGACATTGGCTTTCACTGTCCTTTACCATCCAGAGTCCAATTTGCAATACTGAAAGATCTATTGCTTCATTAGTCATGAACAATAGTGAATTGAAATAGATAGGATAGAATTTAATAGGGAGAAGTATAAAGTTCTACCGTGCATCTGGATAGGAAAAATGTAAAACACAAATATAGCATAAGGAAACCTGGTTGAACCTGAGTTCTTTTTTGAGTTCTTTTCTACTATAAGATGAACATGAGCCAGCATTGTGGTATCACTGAAAAGGTAAATGCTATATTAGGAGGTATTATGAGCCCAAATCGTGGGAAGTATATGTTCCACAAGGCTGTATTCTGGTCCATCATTTGTTTTATAGGTATCACAATTCTAAAAGGGCATGACAAAATTAAGCAAATACAGGCAGGGCTACAAAGATGGTGAAGGGTCTGGAAACCAAACTTTATGAGTTCGCTTCTAGAAAAGACAACTGAGGGGTGATATGATGGTGGTCATTAAATATTTGAAGGGATGTCTCGCAGAAGAGAATAAACTAATTCTCTGTTGCCCCAGAGGCAGAGGCAGAGCCATTGGGTTAAACAAGAAGGAAAGGGGAACCTTCCTGACTACCCAAGATGTCAGCCAGAGGACATGCTGCCACACAAAGTGATGAGTTCTCCTTTGCTAAAGGTCATCGAACAGAACTGATAATCAAATGTGTTCTGATGGTTCTTGAATTGAGCGGGAGATTGGACTAGATCTCCAAGATACATGCCAACTCTATAATTATAAACAGACTGCCATTTTATGATCCATGGAAAACAAAATAATCTGACAGAACAATAATTTTCTTGGCCATTTTAATATTTTATCTTTTTATGCAAGTCTTCATCAACACGGCTATTGTACTGTACTACTGGAGTGCTTCTGAGAAGACTAGAAGGGGATAAAAAATTACAAGGAATAACTCACATTATTATTGATGAAATACATGAGAGAACAGAAGAAAGGTAATCAAACCTTTAAAAGTGGGCAATTTTTCATTATTGTATTTTATAACCTTTCTCTAAATTTATTCTATTTATATGCAAATGCTTCTGTTGAATTAGCATTCCATTTTTTATTTTAATATTCCATTTTTGCTCTGCTAATCTGGCCTATCCAGAAGTGGACCAGCATTTTTCTTTAAGCTGGAAACAACTGAATTCCTGGAACAATAGATTTTGGGGTTTGGGGAACTGATTCATTCACCGGTTCCACTTTTGCTGTGGTTATCAGCTCTGTTAAAAGTGAAGTCATCTTCAGTCCCAGAAGTCCAAGGTTGTAAATTTGTACATTTCCTTTTCCCCCATCTTTGTTGTATGCAGAAGGAAGAATTTATTTATTAGATTTGTTTGCCGTCCATTCCATTTCAACAACAGAATATGTATCCACATTCTATTTTAAACTGCACTGTTGATCAAGTCAGCAAAACAATCTAAGGATTATTCCTAGCTTCTTCAACAATTAATCAGGGTTCAAATCATGATTCCTAGCATTTATATAATCATATACCAGGCATTGGAGAAGATGAATAAAATAAACTACTATTCAGTCTTCCAGTGATTTATTTTTATTTTCATTTTTTGCTTTCTCATGGACTTAAAATTTGCTTTCCAGCGATGAGGACAAATTATCCCCCCTCCAGAATAACAGAAGTATATTGTTCATTTTTCAATTTCTGCCATAATATGTAATATATTTACAGCTTTGGGACTAGAACATTAAGAACTAAATAGGGAGTGGACACCCAAGAATCACTTCTAATACTGAAAGAGGATGCAAAAAGATGCAACTATTGGAAGAATTTTAATTTTTCCCTTTTTTTTAGTGACTTCTTGTTATTGATTATGAAGGACTTAATGTTACAAAGACCAGAGCTACGTGTTGTACTAATGAGTGCTACTCTGAATTCAAACATCTTTTCACAGTATTTTAATTCCTGCCCTATTGTCAATATACCAGGTGAAAACAGCTTCTTTTACTATTAATTCCTTCACTGTTTTACTTTCTGCTGATTTTACAGCAAATATCTCCATTATAAGTTTCTATATATTTGCATCATATTGTATTGATAGTAAAATATTTGAGCTGAAGAAACTATACCAGTCTTAAAAATTTGAAAGACATAGTAACCATAGTAAAAAGCAATTTTAATATTTATCAATAGTTCAATGCAATTGCTTTTCAAGTACAAAAAAGCAATCTAGAACGTATTTGTTTTACCAATTTTATCTGTTTTTTTCTGTTTTTTTAATATAAAGTAATGTGCATTTATTTTAAATAATAATAATGGTGATATCAGTGTGAATATTAATGTTTATAGTTTTATAGTGTTTTTAAATTATTTTAAAAGATATGTCTAGTTCAATATATTTCATAATATTCAATGTAATAATTATATGAAATGTTATGACAATTGTAGATTCCCTGTTTATTTATATTTTATTTTTCAACCACAATGTCCTTTTTCATTTTTTTCTTTTTTCTTTTATGTAGTAGTTTGTTCTTTAAATGGATTAAAATAATACTTTATTTAAAAAAGATTTTTGCTTGATGCCCATTTTGCAGTAAAATTCAGGCTGTAACTGTATAACAGCGCTTCAAATTTGTTGGAATAAAGCTTCCAATTCTTTGCTCTGTTGTGCACATATTTTGAGTCTATTTCACTAAAACTATTTTCCTATCTGTTTATTATTGTTTACATCTCTAGGAAGCACATTCCCTGTAGACCAGTTTTTTCTAGAAGATGCAATTGCAATGACTGGGTAAGAAGTCTCTGAAACAAGTCTAGCACCAGCAACCCTTTTACATAATATAAGTTTTTTTTTTAGACTGAAAATTCAGACTGTTTCTTGGATCATCTTTGCAGAATAACACAGTTAAACCCCAGCTAATAATGTAGACAGCACTACTGCACTGTATCAAATAGGATTTTAAACTAGGCTCATAAGAGAAAAAATAAAGCCAAGTATTACTAAAATCTTAGTATATTTCAAGAATCTGTCAGACTCATAAACTTTATATCATTTAGAATCTATAGACTAGGGAAAACATAGTACAGTATGTTTATGTTGAGGTACTTTCATTTGTTTTGTAGTGTGAGTTTTAATATTTATTAGATGAGCATTAATGTGCATAAGAGCAAGAAGTTTAAGATAAAATTAGAAAGTATGAAATGGAGTGCAATCTCAGATTAATCACTGGATTTAAAAGGGCTGCAGCTTTCTGCCAACCACATAGCAAGTCTACAGGAATCCTCAACTTACACAACCATTTGTTTAGTGAGTGCTAAAAGTTACAACCGCACTGAAAAAAGTGATTTATGAGCAGTTTTCACCTTTACAACCATTGCAATATCCCCATGGTCACATAATCAAATTTCAGGCAGTTGGTAACTGTATTTATGCATTAATGACAGTTGCACTGCCCTTGGGTCACGAGGTCACCATTTTTAACCTTCCCAGGGACTTCCAACAAGCAAAGTCAAAGGGGAAAGCCATGTTTCTGAACAACCACATGGTTCACTCAACAATTTCAGTGATTTGCCTAACAACTATGGCAAAAAAAAGTAAAATGGGCAAAACTCACTTAACAATTGTGTTACTTAGCGATGGAAATTTTGGGCTCATTTGTGGTCATAAGTTAAGGACTGCCTATATTTATCTAGTCCATTTTCCCAGAATCCAATAAAAAAGAATAAGTATCCAGTCATTGCAGAATTGAAATATATGGTAAAATGTACAGGCATAATCCTATGTAATTTTGTGAGGGGAAAAACACCTTCTCTTCCTTTCAGTATATATAACCTTTTATAAGTAATTATAGAGTTACAACCGGAATGGAGCTGACCACCATGGTCATAACTATTTTACGATCTGTTTTGTGGCTGTTAAGCAAATGCCATGGTTTGCTATCGACTGCTTTTTCCAAAAACTGGAAGTAAAACACAATCATATCACTGGGGGGACAACCCTCAGAACTTTAAGTCCAGGTCGTAATGACCCCCAAGTAGGGATGCTGGAACTTTGAACATTTTTAAGTCAAGCAATCCTTGTATTAGTGATATGAAAGATGGGGATAAGCACTGAGTCTTCATCCATTTCAACCTAATTTTTGACATACTTTAATTGAGGAATTGCTATTTTCTAAATTGGATATTTAGACCATGAGTAACCACTAGCAATAATGACAGAAATTAATGTTTCTTTCTTTCTAGCCTGATGCTTACAAATATCTCTTAAATTTTTTCTTTTACTTTCTTTATTGATTAGCCCTTGGGCCATATCAAAGTGCAAAGTTCCAAAAACAAATTATTACTAAAATTTGATAAAAGCAATTTAAAATGGAATTGGATAAAATAGAATTTAAAATGAAAATTTGAATAAAATATGATTTAAAATGAAATTGGAATAAAATACAATAATTTAAGATATAGATAAAATATGATAAAATTATATTTTGGTGTCACCTCTGCAATCTACCCCAATCAGTCTCACATATGCAGATCCCAGCTGAACCATTTTGCTTAAATACTGTGATGTGTGTTATTTTCAGATTCTGGCCCCACATAAGGTAAGTTGTTTTGATATGGGGAGTCCAATAGGTCATTCATTTGGCATATAGACCGAAGTACCTGTCTCTCACCCTTTTATTCAGGCAACAATCAAATAGGATGTGAGCCAGGTCTTCTATCTCTGCCACTCTGCAAATGCAGAGATGTTCTTTGTAGGGTATAGAATAGAATCTCCCATATCTGACAATTGTGTCGAGCTGTTTGAATCTTGCTCAAATAAATATCTCCCTTAGATGTTTGGCAGTTGTAACTTCTAATAGCAGTCTATTTGAAAAAGATGTTTGTATTTGCTCAGCCATTTCAACTTACATAGCTATGTCATTTTGTGTCTCTATATCCTTAATTCTTTGGGCAGCTCTTTTTTTAAATCATTCTGCTGTTATGCAAGAAACAGGAAGGCCACAGCTTCTTACAAAATTTGTTAGTTTGGTGATCCAGGATATTTGTGATTGTGATTTTATTTGCTCTAGTAGACATAATTTGGGGAGTCTATCAGTCTCCATTTCATTGACTTTGTGCCAGTAGTTACATGCTCTGATTTTGGATAGTGCATGAATTGTATGAATTACCAATTCGGCTCTAACTGCTGCAGCAGATGTTTTTACATCTACACCCAAAATACATCTCAAATTCTGGGACTGTGTTCTAGGACTGTGTGTGTGTACGCGCACGCGCACACGCGCGCGCGTACACAGAGAGAAAGAGAGAGATGCTACATTTCTGAATGTTTAATATTGAATTGCCATATCATTTATTTGTATCAGAAAGAAAAGTTAAGTATACAAATTGAGCACATGAAAGGGAAGACCTTTTTAAAATGTTGATATTTTTAACTGAAGTTATATAAATTGCTGTCAGTTTTCTGAATTAATTTCATTCCTGGATCTGTGTAATGTAAATAAAACATGTGAAATGTAACTAAAAACTCAAGTTATATATAATTCATTTGACAAAGTAACAAAGCACTCTTAAAACTGGAAAGGGTGCTAAGTACTGCATTCATTTCATTTTTTCTTAAAAATGTGTTAGTTTCTCTGCTAAATTTCCCCATCATCACATCTCCAGATCTTTTACCTTTTTGATTGCACTCCGAATGGATCACTTTGAGTTCTATATTTGAGATAGGATAAAGGCCTGGCATACTCTGCTAGACTCACTGTCCAGTCTGGTCTTGAGCTGAGCTCAAGGCAACCAACAAATGTGTCAGAGAGTCCACGCGCCAAAAGATTTCAAGTAATTCTGACAAGCTTTGCCAAGTGCAATGAAATCTATGATCTATTTGATTCCCAAATGCTTTCTTTATAGATGTTAACATTTTGTTTATAAAAAGCCAATTCTTAAGATGCAGTGCTCTTTATCAAATTCCAAATGTTGACATTTGTGCAATAGCGTTGCAAAATATATACACAGCCTTACCCATAAAAAGCTTTCTGGCCAATAGTCTAGTAGTTTATCTTAATTACACAGCACCATCCATAAAGTATAAGCTGGGAAAACTGTTAACTGAAAAGCAAAGATAACTGCTTGCTTTTTTCCCCATGACCTCTCTCGGCATGTATTCAGGTATGTTTTGGAGCATAGCAGTCCATATATGCGCAGAGTAAAACCAACTGCACACAAGACAGGAAGGCACACACGGACTGCTGCAGAAGAAGTAGAAGAGACTCTAAAGTATACTGGTTTGGTGAAAATTACAGTCCAGGATTCTGCCCCAGATCAAACACTGACTTTCCAACAACTGCTGATACGTTACAAAGGTATCCCTCATGATATAGTCATTGGTTTCCAGGCATTCTTTATATATGAAAAATATTTGGTTTATTACCTGAAAGTTGTATTCAAAAATTGTAAGAACTTTTTGCATATCTATCTATACTAAGCTATATTTGTGCAAAATTTTCAGGTCTTTTTGGAATTTTCAACAGATTCCAAATCCTGACCATTATCTTTCATAAAATAAGAATTTAATAAGAATTTAAGTTATGCTAGTAGGAATACTGAATAATAGTTAAAATGATTTCCCTTGGAATATGATTGGTGGTGAGCAGTTTGGAAATGTGTCCGTCTTAATTTATTTTTCAATATTTTCTGGGCAGGAAGAAAAAAAATCAAAATTTTAAATTCAGTAAATTCATGCTCTCACAGTGGATAGAGGACATGGTACTGAATGAAATGTATACTAGGGATAAATAGGTGAGTGAACAAGCAACCTGCTATAAGAGATAATAGAACTCTATATGTAGCCCAACAGTGTGATTCAGGTTAACTTTTAGCAATAAAGCTATTGTATGTCCAAGTGGAAAGTCAGGATTTTATTTATTTTAAATAAATGCCATGATTTGTACTCTAATGCCCTAATTGAAATGTCTGTTGTTTGAGATTTTAGGACATTGCAAAGAGTCTGTGAGGGACAGAAGGACAAAATTTTATTTTTAAAAGGTTGAAAATGTATGTAATACTTTAAAAGTGTCAGAGAAAGTTTTGCTACATAGGAAATACATCTATTTCTCTTGTCAGTTTTGATATATCTTGCTGGTTTGCATTTTTACTGACTAAATTAACTTTACTACATTTTACTGGTGGGATTGTTTCTTTTTTTGCTTATGCATATTTCTTTTTTCTTTTTTTGTAGGTGTTAGCAAATCAGTATTAAAAACCATGGCAAACATGGATTTAGACAAAGTAAATCTTGAATTAATTGAGGCCTTACTGGAATGGATTGTCAGCGGCAAACATTTATATCCACCAGGTAACTTAAAAACAGTTTAAATCTCTAATCTGTTTTACAAATTGATTAAACTGAATAGTTCCAATCAGGGATGGGATCCAACCGGTGTAATAACCCGCATGCTTTGCTTTCTGCGTTTGAAAATGTAAAATATGAAGCAGCAGAGAGGAACTGAGAAAAACAAAGATAAATATGGCAGTGAAGGAGACAGAATAGCTTCTACTCCAGTGGTGCTATTCTACCGGTTCGGCCCGGTTCTGGCATACTGGTAGTGCCGAAGATCAGCAGAGACCGAACCAGTTCTCTCTGAGGAGCTGCTTTTGGGCCCGCCCTCCCAGCCTCCCATTCTGACCTTTATTCCCTGCTTTTGAAGCACAGCTGCTTTGTGCGGCATAGCAGATTGCCGCGTGTCAGCTGCTGAAGCTACAGGGAGAGTGCAGGATTGCAGGAGTAGGAAAGCCTCTCTGTGTGCGCAAAGTGTGTATTTGGAATGCACATGCGTGCAAAGTGTGTGCGTGTTCAAAGTGCGCCTGCCAAGCCACACCCACTGAACTGGTGGTAATCTACTTTGCAACCCACCGCTGTTCCACTCATTTTATTATTTTAATTCATGTTTAGGTGCAGTACTGATATTTTTGCCAGGCTTAGCAGAAATCCAAGCATTATATAATCGGTTGCAGTCTAATGCCATGTTCAACAACCGGCACAGCAAACGGTATGTCTTTTTAATATACTTTTAAAAGAAAAGAAAAATAGAAAGATGTTTTAATCTTGTCAATGAGTTTAGGCATTTTATTTAATAGTTATATAACATTTCTTCCCTGGACATGAATTTTCTGCCCTGGAATATAGCCACTGTGAATGCTTGTTTACTAATATTCTATACTTCCAAGTCAAACTTTTGAAGTATTGGAACTGGAGATGGAACAAATGCTTACACATAATTTTTTTTTCAAACCTGTTCTCTAATCTTTTAGCTGTGTTGTGTATCGTCTCCATTCAACTCTTTCCAGTGAAGATCAGCAGTCCGTATTCTCCCAGCCTCCTCTTGGTATCACCAAGATCATCATATCTACAAACATTGCGGAAACTTCCATAACCATCAATGATGTGGTCTATGTGATTGACTCAGGAAAAATGAAAGAAAAAAGGTATTTAAAGAATCTGGAAGAAGTAGCGAATAAAAACTCAGAACAATAGGCCATGTAGAAATGACCTGTATTCACATTCTGGTTTTGAGAAACAGGATTTCGATTACAAAAATCAAGGCAATTCTGCAACATCTGCAACACTCCATATTAAGTGAAGGATAGAGACAAGAAGTATACAAGTTTGAGGACCACATGGAGGGATTCTAGAGCCACATAAATGTCCATAAGCATCATACTTTCTCAATGTTATACTTCATTACCTATCATGTATTTTAATACTGCAAACACGGTTCTATATTTTCCCTCTGGTAGATATGATCCAAGCAAGGGCATGGAAAGCCTGGAGGATTCATACGTGTCCAAAGCCAATGCCTTGCAAAGAAAAGGACGAGCAGGTCGTGTAGCTTCTGGGGTTTGCTTTCATCTTTTCAGTAGTCATCATTATAATCATCACCTTTTAAAGCACCAGTTGCCCGAGATACAACGAGTGCCTCTGGAACAGCTTTGCCTCAGGTAGATTATTCTTTTGCCAGATATTGCAGGTTTTCCAACTAAACTTCAATACCTTATATGTAAATACAAATCATCTTCTGTTCTTACTTCCTTTTCCTCCTATTTTCTTACTTCTGTCCCTTAATGGCTTGATTCTTGGCAAATGTGCAAACTAATTGCCAGATTTATCCTGATTAGCTCACTGTAAGTAGCCGTATCAAAACATTTCTAACTCTAAGCTGGCAGAAGTGTGCAAGTGCCACAAATTCAGTGCCTGGGATTTCCAATTAAATGGATTGAGTAGTAATGTTAGAAGCAGCCTCTATCTAGAGATGTGCAATATTTAGATCCAAAGCAGGCAAATGTTCTTCGTATCAATGAAGGGTACTCCCACTGTACTCAGCAACAATTCCTTAAAGGAGCAGTAAAGTACTTTTTCTGAGCTCTCATAATACTTATATATTAGAAATTAGTCTCCTGCAGTCCCTAATTTTGTTGGGATGTTAATACTATAGGTCATTCATTCTATAGGTCAAATAGGTTTATTCATTCCCAAATGATATCATAATTCCAATTCATATCATAACCAATCCGATAAGACAACATTTATAAGAACAATCAGATAATAAGCAACTGACAATTTGTGGGGAATATATTACAATGAGTTATATGAATCTAGCAGACAAAGCAAATAAAGGCAGTAATTTATGACAATTTAGTTTATTACAGTACTCAATTCATTGCAAGAAAGGCAAGAGGTTCAGAGTAGCATGTTCCATTTAATGAGAAAAAGATGAAGCTGGTATTGAGAAAGTGGTATAAAAAGGGAAAGGTTTCAAGAATCTATCCACTTTACCCTATGTTCAGTACAGGTAGTCCTTGCTTAGTGACCATTCAAAGTTATGACAGACACACGCATCCCAAGCTAAAAGCTATTTACAACCCAGTTCTACACGTCCAACGGCTCCATGCAACCCTGGGATCACATGACTTCATTTCAGGCACTTGGTAACCAGCTCACCTTTATGACTAGTTGTGTTCCATTGTCATGTGACCATGATTTTCAATATTTTTTGCCAGGTTCCATCCTGTTCATCTGTTTCTGGGGAAAATGGTTTTGGAAAGGGCAATTGCTGTATGGAAGTCAGCCCTCTTTTTTCCTGAGCTAAAGTCTTTCCCCCAAATACTGTAGCTATGTCTGCCAGATACTTTTAGTGCTTTAACTGCATCAATTTTGCCTGAAAAGGGAACTGTTCCTGGAAATCACTATTTGGGGGAGGTGGGGTTGGCTAAAATTAGGTTTTCAGAAACCTGGAGCTAAACTGAGGGTACAGCTTGGAGGACAGGAGCAAATTCGGTAGTAACTTAAAGAGATAGTAAAAGCACCTCCACCCATCCCCTACTATGGCCAGGATCTTGTTATCTGTGAAAGCAACATTTGAACATATAACCATGGACAATAAAATCACAGGTAATAGGATTTTTAACTTATGGAGGTAGGTTTAGATTCTGGAACATTGAAACATGGAAAAAAAATATCTCAAATACAAGAAGCAATCAGAAATAAGTATTGTATACTGTACTTTTTGAACTTTGAACAAAGTAAGAAGATTGAAAATCATTGGAGAAATTGAATGCTGAATTCTTGTCAGCCTCGTTAGATTAAGAATTCAACTCCACAAGAAAGCTAAAACTATTTTTATTTGGATTAGTTATAATAACAGAAGATTGCAAGTCTGATTGTGCTATATCTTCTCTCCTTCTTATAGTTCAGTGAATTAAAAATGTGTCTGAGCCACTTCCAAATATTTTCTGTCTCATATGGCTATAAAAGATGTTTCACAAAATCTTGTGTATGGATCTTGTATATCTGCATCAGGGCCATTTTTCTACTTTCTACAATTCTGTACTTCTTTGCATGCCCCATATAGCAGAGGATTGGTAATTTTCTTTGGCTGAACTATGTTTTTTTTTCCAGAATAAAGATTTTGGAAATGTTTTCCACACATAAACTTCATTCAGTGTTATCACAACTTATTGAGCCACCAACAGCTGAATCTATAAATGCATCAAAGAAGCGGTTGCAGGATGTAGGAGCCTTAACATCAGAAGAAAAGCTTACTCCCTTGGGGCATCATTTGGCCTCTTTGCCTGTTGATGTGAGAATTGGGAAATTAATGCTTCTTGGCACCATCTTTCGCTGTCTGGATCCTGCACTAACAATAGCAGCGAGCAGAGCTCACAAGTCACCTTTTGTAAGTATTATTATGATAATCTAGGATTCCCAGACTATGGGTTGTTACAGTTTCAAGAGATAACAATTCTTGGTTCCCTTTTACTTGGACTGTCACTGAGCCACTGGATGTAGGTGTTGGCATCGTCCTTCAACAGTCTTTGCACTTACAGCAGCAGTTCCAGACTCAACATGCTCCTAAGCACCAACTCAGCTAAGATTAAGGTGTTTGTGCCTAGTTTCACTTTCTCCTTCTTTCAAGGGTGGTTCTTTCTGGATGTTTTCTTGGGAGGCATCACACTAGGTTCTGGCATCTGTAGACACTTCATGCTTGCCTTTTGTCATGATGGATTGTGTTCTCTTACAAGAAA